GTTTTGTTAAAATATATTAATGAATTATGTATTTTTTTAATAACTTCATTTTGTTTCATAAATTACTTCTTTGTTCCGATAAACTTAGAAGAATTTCAATGATTTGTCTCACTATATTTCTTTGGATAGATGAATTAGAAGAATTTCAATGATTTGTCTCCCTATATTTCTTTGGATAGATGAATTAGAAGAATTTCAATGATTTGTCTCACTATATTTTTTTGGATAGATGAATTAGAAGAATTTCAATGAATTGTCTCACTATATTTCTTTGGATAGATGAATTAGAAGAATTTCAATGATTTGTCTCACTTTATTTCTTTGGATAGATGAATTCGAAGAATTTCATTGATTTACCTTTCTATTTTTCTTTGTTCCGATGAACTAAGAAGAATAGTTTAAATTATTTGCCTTCCTCATTTTTGTTGAGACAAAATCATAAATTGTAATAGTTCCCATTCATGTGTTATACTTTTTGTCCAGAAATAATGCTTTTAAAATAAAAAGTGATAATATAAATTAATTCATAGCTTTTTTTATTTATTTTTATGGATATTTTTCTATTGGATTGCGTCGAAGTTTTTGAGTGGTACTTCCAACAACAACAACAAAAAAAAAAAAAAAAAAANAAAAAAAAAAAAAAAAAAAAAAAAAAAAAAAAAAAAAAAAAAAAAAAAGGTATTGCTAATAACCTAAAATTCTATCGAAAGAAAAAGTGATGTATTTTGTGTCTTTTTTTTCTTCTTTTCTTTTAAATCCCATTTCATCATGTTAAATCTTTTTTTTTTAATCTTATATAAATTATTTTATAAGACTGAAACAAAGTTTTCGGTTTTTAATGATTTTTTTAACTCAATTTACAAATTTTTTTTTCAAAGAAGAAGAGATATATTTAACAATAAAATATTGAATTTGTGTTAAATTTTTTATCAACCGTCAAATTCTTTCTTTGAATGAGCCATAGTTTCCCAGTATTGCTTTGAAAAAGAAGCGAATATAGGAATTGATTTTACTCATTATAGATAAAATTTTGCAATGAGTAAAACGGGTTCTGCAGTGGTGTAAATGTTTTTCAGAAGCTAATGCAAAAATGATAACTCTCTTATTATGTGTAAATGCTTTTCAGAAGCTAATGCAAAAATGATAACTCTCTTATTATGTGTGAATGCTGGCTTATAAAGGTTAACTGTACTACCGCACTGTCCAAATAGTAAAAAATTTTAATCACACACTTCTAGCGGTACTAAACAAACTACCTCTATACTTGTACATTACGTCATCATGACGTTGGTGGCATCACAGTTAACATTTTAAATATATATTTTATTTATGAAATATTTTAATATTATAAATAATAAACAAACGCTTCTTGATTCTTATTAACATCACTGTATCATTTCAAGAGTCCTTCAACTTAAGATGGTTTGTCTTTATTTCCTTTAACCATTCTTGTTATTAATTTATTTCTTGCGTTTTAATATAACTGAATAAACATAATTATTAAGAATTATTTGATTGTGGCCCGACTCCTAGTATCCAGTATCGGGGACGAATAATTTCACAGGCGTTAAACGTAATTTATCCTGTTGAAGTTATCTTTTATTATTCATAAAAAGTAAAATAAAAAAATAAGGAGATCAATTTCGACGTGTTGTTTAACAAATTATTGGTGCATTTTTTTTAATTAACTGTTACTGTCCTTTAGGTTGTGCTGACTCCGAAACTCAAAAAAATAGGTATACGGTAAAAACTGTACTTCAGGTTAGTTAGCAGAAAAAGTACCTAAATATACTTTTAAAACCATGAAGATAGCAACTGTTGTACGCGGAAATTCGAAAACTATGCGTTTACAATCGAATTTTCAAGAAAAGAAGAAAAAATAAATCGTTTGCCAAAGAAATTTATATTTAAAAAATGCTTCATAAAATCGATAGTTTCGTTATAAAATAAGACTTCATTTTGCAATCCTCTAGGAACAAAAAAATAAATGAAGTCATCAATTCTAGAAATATCTATAGCAAGTATTGCATTGAAAACTCGAACTCAATTTTCTTCCATCTCGGAGAGCGGTAGTAAGAGTTCAGAGAAATCTTTTCCCCGTTTCCTTCAATCTTCCTGACATTCCCCCTTCAGTTTAGGAACACACGCTTAAGCCTCAACATAATCCTTTTCTGCCTCTTCGTTCACTTTTATTTGAGAAGCATTTCGGATGGGGAAGCTAAATCTTGTAATCCTCTGTTAAGATAAATATTAAATAACTGCTGCCTTTTATTTTAAAAGGGAATCTTTTCAAATTCGTTTTTTTATTATTTATTTATTTTATTTCATTTTATCGTTTGCTGTTGCTGTGGAAAAGAATTTGAGGAAGAACATCGTGGAATAAGAGAGTATTAAATTTGTCAGCATGTCTTAAAAATTATTGATTTTAGCTGTAACAGTCATATTCTGTTTTACAAATTCTTAGATTTTGTATGATTATGAAAATAATTTAATAGTTATTAGTTATGCCTTTTTCTACTAAATCGTTTGCGTGTTTCATTGTTCGAATGTGTGAACTTGTACTGTGATTTTTTTTCTACCACAAGCAACTGATTGAATTATTTTTATTTATTATTAGTTGCTTTTTGTAGATAGCTAATTGGCCTTTGAAAAGTACCTGATGGTACGGTAAAAAATTAATTTGGGTATGGTAAAGAGTACAATGATTAAAGGGCGCTGTTTGTCTTTCATCATATGGCTCTAGAAGATTAAGATTCTTCAAAGCTCTTGTATCTTTTATAAAAATTTAAAAAAATTAAAACGCCAATTTGGCTGCATTTTTTCACTTAGATAGAAATTATTTTAAAAAATTAAATGATGTAGCCTTTTCATATCTACAGAACTGTGGCTTTTCTTCCTTTTCCGCCTTTTTCATAATTTTCAAAGATAAATCAGCTCGCAATTAAAGATGGGGAAACTTAACAGTTGTTAAAAAATATCTTTTCTTTAACTAAGAAGCTTTTATTTCACCAGAGCCTTGGAAGATCAGCCTTAATGCAATTGTATGGAAAATAATTATTATTTTATTGTATTGAGCCAGTTTTAATGTTTAATGTCTTATGAAAGGAAATAAAAATATATGAAATTGAAATAAAAGCGTTTTTAATTCATGTAATAAGCAAAATACTTAACCATAAACAAAAACAAAAAAAAGTTTTGAGGTTAGTAACATCAAATTTCGATTTTCAAATTTCGACCACTTTTAATTCACTTTAAGTGAGATAAAAAGAAGAAAATGGGATATGACGAGGCTAAATCTAATTTGATGTCCAATTTCAACAGGAGAATCCTCAAGTCAATCATGGGTTAGTACCTTCTTGCCGTCAGGCAAACCGTAAGAGGTTTTCGTTGTTTGCCTCTCCGTGTAACGCAAATGCGGGATAGTTCCATCAAAAAGTTCTTCGCGAAGACAAAATTTTTCCTAATACTTGATCCAGGAGTTCCCTTGTCTTTTGGATTGGATTCAAAATTGCAAGACTCCAGAGTTGAAGTTTGGTAGTAGTAATTTTAAAAACTAGGTCGGCTGTTCAACGAAATTATGTACATTATATGTATATTACATGTATGTTTAATTCAATACGGTCCCTCTTCGCTGTTTACGTTTGAATGTTTATGTTTCCTCATAAGTAAGGTGATCGAAGCAAGGGAAGAGATTCAAACAGTTACTAACTTACAATCCAGCACTGTTTAACGATTCGCTTTCTTTTTTGGAGACCTTTCTTCTTGGCTCTAGTTGATCACAATTATGACTCGAACTTTAATTCCTTGTAAAATTTGTTAACTGAACTAAAAAAAAAAGTCAAGGACCAAGTTAGTTTTTTTTATTTTTTTTATTGAGGAAAATACCCAACGTATGATACGTTGGGTCATTATCATTACGAATCATTACAAATCATTACAAAGCAAGCTCAGCTCTGTTTTGCGGAACTTCGATAAAAAGAAAACCTCTTCGCACTTTTCAAAACCAGTTTTTGCTAATATTCAGAGCAAAAAAGAACACTTTTTGAGGACGCTTTGGGCTTTCACCTCTGTTAACAGTTAACTTAGTTAACTGTTAACCGATTAACAATTAACTTAGTTAACTCTTAACCGAGTTAACTCAGTTAACAGTTATCGTCTCAAAATTGACTAATTGTCCATTGCAAATACAGAAACTAATGAGTTGCACTTCAGTATTTTCGTTTATTGAATAGGTATATTTTAAAGTTAAGTGAACTATCTCCGTCAGCCATTCTGACACAACTTATCACTGTTATTTTTAATTGCCTTGTTACACAATAGGCCTGAGTAGCGCAAAATATTACTAAATTAACTATATTGCTTGACTATTGAGTGAAATGAGAAAAAAAATTGTTTTCCGTCAAATCAAAATTCGTAGTGAAATTATTAATTTAAAATTTCAAAAGTTTACTAGTTATTCGATTTCTTTCAAACTTTCGTCATTAGTTTCATCCCTTTGATTCGTTGCAGATTTCCCCCTTAAAAAAACTTCGAATAGTTGAATTGCTTATTCATTTATTCGAGAGTTATAGAAGAAAAGAAGAAAAAAAGTATTTTATTCCAAATCCTCACCTATCGAATATCAGAGAATATGTGCATATTTAAGGTGATAAAATTTCCATTGATCTCAAATTTCTTTCTGATGCTACTTTAATTAGCGATCTCCTCTTTCAAACGAGTGTTTGAAACTGATTCCTCGTTAAGTGACGAATCACATTAACGCAAAATCAAATTAGCGATATGCCATATCAAAGAAAGAAACATTTGCATATTCTTAACTCTCGAGTACCTTCCGGCGAAATCGAATGAAAAAAAAGAATTGGAACGTAAGAAAAAAAAGCCCAATTCAATAATCATAACCATACTGCTGAGCAGCTTCTTTTTAAAAAGTTTTATTAATTTCTCTTTTCTAGTTACCTTCATTATCGTCTGAATATTCATTATTTTTCTATCTTTTGCAGAACTTCTGGGATCTGGCAAAAGAATCAACCTGAATGCCCAAGATTGTGATGGGTGAGTAAATTTTAATGCTCCTTTCATTTACTTTTCTCATTTCTTGTGTTTTTCTAATTCTATTCCGTATCATCATCGTTAGAATGGTGCTCAGAATCTTGAATTATTAGATTAATTGCTAGAGTTATTTAGATTAGATAAATTGTTGTTGCAATTCTGTATTTATAGTCTTGGGTGAATAAATTTACTTGTTATGTAATTCTTCAGAAAAAGTATTATTGTAGGAAGTTAATTCTCTTTTGTTTATTCTTACTGAAGGAAGTGAATTAACTAAGCGGTGTTGCAGTTCAACTACTATTGTTTTTGATATTTATTCTGTTCAACAAATATTGGTTTTGTTGTAAAAATAATGGAGTATTCTAGTGAATTACATTAATGATAGAGATAATAATGATTAATTACAATAATGATAAAGATAATAATGATTAATTACAATAATGATCGAGATAATAATGATTAATTACAATAATGATGTAGATAATAATGATTAATTACAATAATGATAGAGATAATATTGATTAATTACAATAATGATAGTTTTCAAATATAAAAAAAATTAGATCATGCACTTTTCATTTTCATTAAACTGCGGTTTTTTTTCTATCTTTTGCGTTGATTAAAGATAGACAAAACTTAATTTAACAGTCGTGAATAACTGTTGCACACTCACAATAGTTATGAAAATAGCATTAATAGACTACTCTATCGATGCAATGTTGTTTACTTTCAATACGTGTTATTTTACGCTTTTTATTAATTTTATTTTTTATCACGGTATATTGGGAAAAAAACCCATACCGTTTCTAACGTCATCAATGCCAATATTGTCTTATCCTTGTAATTCTGAATTCAAACCATAAAGACAAAAGAACAACCGGACCAAGCATTACGAGTTCGTTCTCTCTCTCTCTCTCTCGTTCGCGAGTTTATGGAACAACCTGCGTTAGATGGAGAGGCAAAACCTCTCACGGTTAGCTTAACAGCAAGTGAGATTCTAACACACGATCCTTCTACTAGGAATATTTTACGTCACCATTGTAATCGGTGTGAGCCGTTTGCGGCATATGAATCGACCAGACATCGCCGAATCTCCATAAAATATGTTCCCTAAAATAGCATAACTCTCAATAGTCTTCCCTTTTTGTTTAACATTTAAGTCACATTTATCGTTTCCTCCGTCTTGTATCAAACATTTTATTTAATTGAAACCTAAAATTTTTCGACCAATAAAAGAAAATTATATCAAGCTACCTAATAGGAAATCCCCTGCACCTGTGTTTGTAACATTTTTATACCCTGAACTCCTTTTTAACGAACGCCAATTATATAAACGAAATTTGTATTATTTATCGTTTGAACTTATCTATTTTCGTTCTTTTTCTCATCATTATCATTTTGTAATTCACATTTTATGTGTCATTTATTTTATTAAGTCACAAAAGAGAACATTTTTTTTTATGACTAACATGAAAAAACCTTGCCAAATAAGCATTTTTTTTTTTTTTAAAGTGAAGAACTTTTTTAAAATATCAGCTGTTAGTTCGTTTTAAAGTCAAAACAATTCTTTCAAACGAGATAGTAAATATCGTCTGAAATCAAAGTTAAAGTCACTCGAATTCTTGTTGTTTTCTTGGCGAAAAAGTTAAGAAAAAATAACTCCATTCACGAAACGAAAAATAATTAATAAAGAGTTGTAAAAAAAGCTAAATTTTTGGTAAAAATGTGAAAAGTAGCAACTGTACTTATAAATTCCAGAATTTTATGCAGCAGTTACTAATAATATTGTTTTTTTTTCATTATCTTTGCCTTTATTTACTTAGTTGAAACAAAAATAAGTGTTCTGAATACTTTAATAAGTAGGGCATGATTTATAACATCTAGAACTGACTTCTTCGAGTTTTGCAATAGTATGCAGATGTACTATCATCACTCTTACAGCACTTTTTCCTTCATTATCAAAGAGGTATCAGCGCTTCCTGGTTCCTTATCATTACATAACTGAAAGAAAAATGAAAACATTTATGATCTTTGGCGCACAACTACAGATAATTATTTTTCGCGTGAAGATAGTCTTTGACGCCATACAGTCTAGCGGTACTCGGTCGTTTTTCAAGGACAATCTATTATTTTTTTTCCACCCTACTCTTCAAAGGTTCTTTTGTTTAGTCTCATTTTGTTGTTGTACGTAACTGATATATTAAGTACTACAGACGAAAATCTCAAGGTTTGCAAGTGTGCTTATTTTTTTTTCATCTCTTAATCTCTCAAATTAAAATCGGGTTAAAAATGATCTTAGCTCTTTTACTTGAGAAATATTTCATAACGGAAAGAAATTTAACGTCATAAAAAATATGTTACATAAAAATTTGTAATTATAATTTTTTATGTAACTTATTTTTTTGTTGATAATTGAAAATGTATTGATCATTGGCTGATTTTATTTTATTTTACAACCAACGTTGTAAAGCCGAACGAATTTTGGGTTAATAACTATTTAATGTTCAGCTTCGTAATTTTGAATTCAACCCAAAAGACAAGGGAACACCTGGATTAAGTATTGGGACAAACTAGCCTTAGAGGAGAACTAACTGATTGATGGAACTAACCCCATTTACGTTACATGGAGTGGATAACCACGGAAACCTCTTACGACTAGCCCAACGGCAAGGGGAATCGAACCTATGATCCATCTACCACTAGGGCTACTTTATATTGGCAATTTTATTCGATTTTTCGGGTACAGTAAATTATACTTATGTATCCAGCTACAGATTTTCTATGTGACCCAACCGCCTCAATCCTGTAGGATCATTTAATAACTACAATAATATCAGGCTGTTTTAAGGGGCTCATAATTTTTGCTCTTAAAATATACAAAAAGTAAGAATTATTCTTTGATTCGAATTATTTATGATTGGTGATTTATTAAAAAGAAAAGGCAATTTTATAAATACTTTAACTATTAGTCGGTCGTCCAGAAAATTCTTTTCTGCAAGATGATGTGCGTAGAGTAGTTTAAAAGTTAAACTTGTCTGGAGTTTATAATACCAGGATTATTTTATTGCCTTTTTAATAAGATATCAAAGATCTAAATCTTTTTTTTCCAAGACGTTTGTTCCGCAAATTTTAATGACTGTCAAATTCAAGGATGAGCTCTCGACGAAAAAACAATAACAAAAATTTAGTTCGGTACATTAGGCCTTCTTGCCATTGAATTCGTAAAACAAACTATAATATTTACATTATAAACCGCCATCTAGTGGTGCGGAATGACATTTTCATAATTAAGATGCCATCTAGTGGCTAATAATTTTATCATTTTCTACAATGACTGCAATAATGTTTAGTTGTTAAAGTTATCGTAATTTTTTTTGTCTCCCAAAACACGAAAAAATTGAGAATAACTCTTTGATTCTAATGATTTTTTTCCTTTGAAAATGTTGATTTAAAATTTATCAAGTTGTGTTGATGATTTCTTTCCCAATCGTCCATTATTCTATTGCAGACTGATGAAGCAAGCAATTGTATATTAAAAATCAATGACTGTTTCAATGACGAACCAAATATGATAAATAATAAAAGTACATTATTTTTGAAAATATGGAGTCCCATCAAAATTAAAATTATTCTTCATTTTTAACATACATAGGAATAACTTTATAAATAATTTTGAAAATTGTCCGGAAGTTGTGGGTGTTTGGCTAAGTCCCTCAGACCACCTCCGTCTATCAAGAATTAAAAAACGGTAGTGTCATGTACGTAAGAATAGTTTTTGTCAAGAAAACTAAACAAATCTATGTATTGACTATTAATGACTTTAAGTTATTTGACAAGGCTCTTATTCTTAGCATTAGACAAATGAATTGGCAGAAAAACAAGTGTGAGAAATATTAAAAATTTTTAAGAAAATCAAAACATTTAACAGCCACGTAACGGTGTTCAAATTCTATGCTAATCTATTAGGTAGATGTAGAATTTATTCTGAACTCAAGTTTAGAATATTGAATAAAAAGATTTAACGATTATATTTATGATTTTTATTTATTGAATGAATGTTAGTTTTAATAATTTTAGTTTTTACTTGTTATAAAATATGTTATACATATTTTTGCAGTGACTTTTTTTTAAAGTTAAATATTTGTTTTAAATATTTAAGTTATTGATATTTTTCAAATTGCAGACGATTATTTTCGCAAGATAGCGTATGTTCTTTAAAATTAAAACTCTGTGTCTAGTTTAATTGAATTTAGCAGGATTATTTTATTGCCTTTTTAGCCAACTGTCTTAAGAGGCAACTCATAATTTTTGTCAAGGCTTGTTTGTTATTACTCTTGTTTTTATGGAAAAACACAAATAACAGTTTTTTTTTCCTCCCATAAATTACGATATACAAGAAAGAAGATTTATCTTTTTGTTAGATTAGGAAGAAACTATTTTCATCACACTCTATATTGTTCGGATATTATTTTGTTTCCGTCAATAATTGGTTTTGCTTCAGTATGCTTCGGAAACAATTTTCTTTGTAATCTCACATCTACGTAGAACTGTTTTTGGGATTTATTTTAACAAAAAATGATATCCCCTTTTTCTTGTTCTCAAACGAGGAAAGTTATTTCGTTTCTTTTTTTTTTTTTTTTTTTTTTTTTTTTTTTTTTTTTTTTGCTGAGTGTATCTTTTATCTAATATTGGAAAAATGTTTACTTCTACATTGCGCAGGATTTTCGAAACTGTATCTAAAATTAATATATATATATATTTTTTTAATATAAGTAAATAAATTCGTTTTTTGACTACATTTAACTGCTCTGTATTATACAGGTCTGTTTAGTGCCTTAGAATGTTACGGACATACATACAATATGTTATCTTAAATTTAATTTATCTTTATTAAATGAGATAAGTATTTGCATCGAATATCACGAATGTTTGTTCTTATTTTGTTTATATTCTTAGGCATGAATCTATAAGCGTCTCAAAAATTAGTCTAATTTTTAGATCGC